ACCTCCGCACTAGGCACAGGAAAGCGGCCATCTAGGGCAGGATAGCTGCCAGTCTGGCCACCCAGGAGCAGGTTTGCATGAAAATCAAGGTGGTCCACTGAGACCCCCGACCCTGAGCCCTGAGCTTACAATGGCCGTACTGGGTCAGACCAAAGGTCCATCTAGCCCAGTAGCCTGTCTGCCGACAGCGGCCAACCCTAGGGACCCTGGAGGGGATGGACCGAAGACAGTGACCAAACCTCATTGTACGAGGTTTGTAACTCTTAAGTGCTTGTAACCTCTCCCAGCTTACTAGCTTTTACAAACTCAAGTGTATACTCTTAATAATCAGCAAGTGGTCCATTCTCTGTTACCCATTCCCAGCCCTGACAATTAAGCAGAGGCTAGGGACACCATCTATGCCCATCCTGGCTAATGGAAGTCTTGGCCTCCACAACATTCTCTGGAAAGGAATTCAACAGATTATGTGTTGCACGAAGAAATGCTTCCTTTTGTTTGTTTTAAATCTGCTGCCTATTAATTTCTTTTGTGACTTTTAATTCTTGTGTTATGAGGAAGGTAAATAACTTTCCTTATTTACTTTCTCCACATCCAGTCATGATTTTATTGACCTTTATCATATCCCTCTAGAGTCATCTCTTTTCCAAGATGAATAGTCCTAATCTTAATAATCTCTCCTTATATGGCAGCTGTTCCATGTTCCTAATCATTTTCGTTGCCCCTTTTCTGAACCTTTTCCAATTCCAGTATATCTTTTTTTTTTAGATCTGCATACAATATTTAATATGTGGGCATATCATTGATTTAGATAGAGCAATACAGTATTTTCTGTCTTATTATGTATCCCTTTCTTAACGATTCCCAGCTATTACAAATAATTTATGAACGTATTGAGAATTAGACACAAGATAGATCCCTGCAGGACCTCACTTGATATATTCTTCCAGCTTAACTATAAACCATTACTCTCTGACTATGGTTTTCCAACCAGTTGTCATCTACCTCATAATAGGTTTATCTAGATAGTTCACTAACTTGTTTACAAGACAAAAATGTGAAAAATATCAAAAACCTTACTTTATGGAAAGCTTACTTAAAGCCTTACTTAATAGTCATGACATATTACTTCAACTACTATCCCATACTCACAGAGCTCGTTACCCTGCCGCAGAAGGCTATTGAGTTGGTTTGACGTTATTATCACATTATTATCTGCTAGGTAATTACAAATGGATTGATTTATTATGTGTTGCATTATATTTCTATGTACTGAAGTTAAACTGACTGGTCTATGATTTCCTAGGTTGCCTTATTCTCCTTTCTATAGATATTGTAGTGGGTTCACTCACTTTCCATACGGCTTCTTCCCTCAGGGTGGCTTGTGGGGAAGTAACCGGCTGCTCCAATGCCAATGCGCCCCCTTTGGGTGAGGTGTTCTCTTCTGGGCACTGCTTTCCAGCAGTGACCACTCCGATCTTGGTCTGCGCCCCCTTCTGGGGAGGAGTCATTGTTCTTCCTCCACTCCTCCTCCGGGGTCCTCCCTACAACCCCCAGTTCTTCTCCCACTCTGCCTGCCCAGATGCTTTCTGCAACCCTGCCTTGTGGATTTATGGCCTGGGGCTTTCCTGTCTCAAACTCCCCCAGCTTATCACAGCTGCCTCCTTGTGAACCGTGGCTGCCTCCTTGCAGCCCGGCCTTTTAGGGCTGCCTCCTTGCAAGCCCCACCCTCCATGACTGCCTCCTGCAGCCCCTAGGACCTCAGGCCGGGTAGCCTAGGTTTGCTAGGCCGAAGCCTCTCTCACTGCAGGCAGACAGGCAGGTCCTTCTCCTCCTTCCAGGAGTTGCTTTATACGGCCTCCAGCTGGGCCCTCATTAGCTGCCTCAGCTGTGCTTCCCTCCTTCACTCCAGCTCCCAACCCCTTAAAGGGCCAGTGCAGGGCAATGCCCTGCCACAATATATACTATATTTTTTTTCATTTACGAATCCTTGGGTATCTCTCCTGTCTTCCATGAGGTCTCAAAGATAATCTGTAATGGCTCAACTATCTCTTCAATCAGTTCCTTAAGTATTCTAGCGTGTATCTTATCAGACTTTGACATCTTAAAGACATCTAATTTGTCTAAGAAATTCTTAACCAGTATTTTTCAGCTTCAGATTCTATCCCATTTACACTGATGTTCACTATGTTAGTCATCCAAATGTTAACGTTTTCCGGTGAAAACTGAAAATATAAAAAGCATGTAACAGTTCGGCCATTGCTGTGTTTTCTCTTGTTGTCTTTTCCTCCTGACTAAGTAATTGGCTTACCTTGTCTTTGATCATCTTCTTGCTTCTCAATATTTGTAAAATGTTTTCTTGTTATTTTTTATGTCCTGAGATAGTTTTAATATCATTTTTGCCTTGGCATTTTAAATTTTGTCCTACATGCTTGTAATATTTTATTATATTAATTCTTCATAATTTGACATAGCTTCCACTTTTTGTAGGACTCCTTTTTCACTGAAGAGATCCTGAGTAAGCCAGGGTGGTCTCTTATATTTCCAATCTTTTCTATGCACTAGGATAATTTTACTTTTATGACCTTATTAATATCTCTTTAAAAGTTGCCAACTCTCCTGAACTTTATTTTCCCATAGATTTGCTTCCCAGCAGATTTTTGCCTCCCAATTCTCTGAGCATATGTCTACAAAGCAGGGCTAAAGTTGAATTAACCTACGCAACTTCAGGTACGTCAATTGCGTAGCTTAAGTTGAAATAGCTTAGTTTGGCTTTTGGAGCTGTCTACAGAGCAGGAAGTTGAAGGAAGACTTCCCTTACTCCTTATGAAATGAGGGCTACAGGAGTTGAAGCAAGAAGTCCTCAAGCTCAACATTATTTCAAAATAAAGGCTTGTAGTGTAGACACGCGCTATGTTATTTCAGAATAATGTCAGTTATTCTGTGTAGACGTACCCAGAGTTTGTTACAGTCTGCATTCCTAAAGTTAATTGCTTTTTATTCTGCTATTTTCTACCATTCCTTGGAATCATGAATTTTATCATTTCATGATCATTTTCACCCAAGCTGCCTTCTATATATAAAATGTCAAAAAACCGTTGAGCTGGAATTAATATACACATTCGACACCCTGAAACTAAGGTTTAAATAGACACATGGAGTGGTTCTCACAATACAATAGGTTATTTCCCATTCAGATGCTCTTACCTTCTCATCGCCATTGGAGATGAGCCAATCCAATCAAATTTAATAAGCACTGATATCACAATCTCATTTCTGTATCTCTTTCTTTTTTTCTTTGTTTCTTCAGCATCTGAGCAAGTGAATTGTATCTCCCCAAAGCTTATGCCCTTATACTCTAATAATTTTTTTAGTCTTTAAAGTACCACCAGACTCTTCGTTGTTTTTGCTGACACAGGTTAAGAAGGCTACCCCTCTGAAACCAGTTTCTTCCTATTTGTCAGAACAAATCTAGAACAGCCTCTCCTCCAGTCATTTTCTCTATCTTCTGTTATAAAAAGCTGTCTCCAGTGCATTCCAAGAACTTGTTGGAGCCTTCCAAGAATCTGTTGGATAATCTGTGCACTGCTGTATTATTTTCTTAACCCATGTTTGGGTAGTTGATGTCCTCCATTGCTAGCAAGTCTCGTGTTGTGTATGATTTTGTGAGATGTTTAAAAAAAGGACTCATCCACCTTTTCTTCTGGTATATGTGTTCTACAGGGGTATGTCTAGACTACATGCCGCATGTAAATTAGACTACCTGACATAGTCAATGAAGCCGGGATTTAAATATCCCCAGCTTCATTAAAATAAAAATGGCCACCGCGCTGTGCCAGCTCAGCTGATCGTCAGCACAGAGCGCGAGTCAAGACGTGGATCGGTCGACAAGGGAAGCCTTTGTCAACCGCTCCTGTAAACCTTGTTTCACGAGGCATAAGGGAGTGGTTGACAAAGGTTTCCCTTGTCGACCGATCCGCATCTTGACTCGCACGCTGTGCTGACGATCAGCTGAGCTGGCACATACTACTTGCATTAGTATACAGACATCTAAGAAAGTCATTAAATTTTCACTCTGTATTCCCTCCTGTCTCTCCTTTGTTCCTGCTGTGATTTCCCATGTTCTCCTCTCCCCCACCCAACAGGTTCCTACCTTTCTCTGTAGTCTCTGTGCTTTGAATGTACCCATGGGCTTTTGTCTCCTGTCCCCCCTTGTATCTAGATTAAAACCCTCCTCACTAGGCTAACTAGTGTGTATCCAAAGATACTCTTCCCCTGTGGTGATAGGTAGATTCCATCTCTGTTCAGCAGTCCTCCTTCTTGCAACAGCATGCCATGTTTGAGCAAGCTGAAGCCCTCCTGTTGATACCATGAGTACAGCCATGTTTTCATCTCCAGGATGTGTCTGTTTCTGCCTTGGTCCCTGCCCTTGACTGGAAAGATTGCTGAGAAACCCACCTGTGTCCTCAGTCTGTCTGTAATATCTTTGATATGGGCCCTTGTGAGGCAGCACACCCTCTGATAAGCCAGGTCAGAATGGCAGATGGATGCCTCCATTGTTCTGAAAAGGGAGTCACTGATAACAACCATCCTTATTTTTTTCTTGGGATTGATGGATGCAATCCTCATAGCCATGGAGGGTACATGGCTTGGGGGTTAGTGCACTACTAGGGACACAGGAGAACTTGGGTCTTATCCCCCTGCTTCAGTCACTGTTTGATTATTTATCCACAGTGGAACAGCTTCAACAGCAGAGAGTGAGCCCTGTGTCAGAATATCCCATAGTTTAGTGAGATTCAGAGAACTCTTCTGGGAAGTGGGAGTCCCCAGTTCAAATTCTTTAGCAGTGAGGGAGGAATTGATCCTGAGTTTCCCCAATCATCTTCTCTTCTAGCTGTTTTGTGCCACACAAGGCAGGATTTTTTCTCATTCCCACAAGAAATTCCTTAGGTACCTAAGCCATCTGACTCCAGGCACTGAGTTCCAGTTTGTGGCTCACTAAGCAGAGAGAAGCAATTCCCTGCGGTCTGGACTTTTGCACCTATCTCTGAAAGAGGGGCTGAGCTTAGCACACATCCCTCTCATTGGTGTCTCCCATTATCTGTCTTTGGCAGCCCTCTCCGCTCTCACCTTATGTAGCATGCTGGGTTTTGTGGCATCTCCTCCATTCATTGTTTAGGGAGCCTAGGTACTTAACTTGACTTTGTAGATTGCAGTGTTATTTCTATGTTTTTCGAGGCACCTAAAAGTTAGATGGTGCTGAGCAATGTAATGGTTTGTGTATCCTACCCCAAACTAATTTAAAAAAATAATATGATATTGCTAAAGGACCATTGTAAACAGCATCTGTACCACCCCCAGCACATTGTGAAACCCTTCCAGTGAACATCATACTCCTCTTTATATCCAAGCATTGCCAAAGCCTAGGGCTTACCTTAACTTGAGGACACAGGTTAAAACTACAACTGCCTTGTCTCCAGCCAAATATGTGAAGCTTTTAAAAATAAAATGAAAAGGTGTCTTGACTACATAGAGAGACAAAGATGTAACTTCCATTGGGGCATAAATGATCAGTGAATGAGAATTATCTGACTTGCTGTGTCTGGGATTCAGAAATGTTGCATTTTGCACACAGGAACATGAATTATAACTTCATTACATATCCAATTTCATTTTGTGTTGCAGCTTTCATGAAATGGCCCTATATGATCTTCCTGCCATCATAAACTTTATTCTGCAGAAAACGAGGCAAGAGCAACTGTATTACATAGGCTATTCTCAGGGCACTACCTTAGGTATGGTAAGAGAAATCAAATTATTGTTGTCATGAAAGCTAGAGCCTTACTGTATTATCTGCTGCATCCAGTAAGTGACACTTCCTTCCTCAAAAGCTTATCATTTAAAAGGGTGGCAACAATAATATGTTATTAGCTACCTATTTGTGTGCACCATTCATAGGTGTGAAAGATGCAATAGCACAAGTAAAAAAGACTATAATCACAACTAGCTCTCTGTCTTACAGATAGCAGGTTTCTGTAGGCATTTTTAACCTGAGTCAGGACAAGATTTGAAAGGGGGGGGACACTGTATGCACTTTAGCTCATTAAAGCTTTTTGTTGCTGTTTATTGTGTCATTCAATGCTCTGAGGAACCATAGAATCCAGGGGTGGTGAACCTCAGGCCCAGGTGGTGAACCAAATGCGGCCCTCTACTTGCCTGGATGCAGCCCCTGAGGCTCAGGGCTCCCCCCAGCATAGGGGAGCCCATGCTGGCACTCCAGCCCCCTTGAAGCTCCACCGCAGGGCTGTAAGCACATAAAGTCTACTAGACTGCCCCCCGCTGGCTCTGGTGCGCAAGGGGAATGTGGAGAGTCTTTCTCCTCAGTTGGGAGCTATGTCTGTGAGGGTTTTTTGTTTGTTTGTAGTTTTGCTTCTCACTTGTGTATGGCCCCTGACTGATTTTTCTGTGGGTCAGCAGCCCCTGACCTCAAAAAAGGTTCCTCACCCCTGCTATAATCCTTGGGCCAGTCCCTTCCTCACCCTTCTCAACCTAAAGAAGAGGGGACAAGTAATTTTACAAAGTTTGGAAAGTCAAACTAAAAGGATCCCAACTGTGGAGAGTTTGCTGGGAGACAGAGTAGAAACCAGCATTGGAAGAAAAGTACTAGTGGATGAGGACGGGGTAATATATTTTATTGGACCCATTTCTGTTTGTGAAATAGCCAAGTTTTTGACCTACACTCAACTGTTCTTTGGGTCAGGTCAGATTACCTTTTCCAGACCTGAAAAAGATCTTTAGCGCTCTCTAGTTTGCTGTCTTGTCTCTTTCTCCATCAGACCCAACATGGCTGCACCTACACCACAACTAAGAGTGGGATGACATTCTGACCAGGATTGGAAGATGATAGCTCTTATAAAGACCCTGATTCTCATCCCTTAGTTCCAAAATGCTTCCCACTGATGAACCTGTCATTATTCCAACTCTCATTCACCCAGCCTCTGGCATCTTCTCTCCAGTGAGCAGGCAGGCAGGCAGGCAGAAGGGGAGTGATTTTGATAGGATTTCTGCATTTAGTATTCCTGACTCCTTTCTTAGGGGCATTTAGAACGTGTAAGAAAAATTCCAGACCCCACAGAAATGTGTGATTTGGAAGTTTTTGATTTCCAGTATATTCTGATATAGACGTGACTTGCCTTCCTGCCAATTCCAGGCTGTGTCTACATTGACATCCCTTTCCGGAGAAGGGATGCTAATGAGACACTTCGGAATTGCAAATCCGCGGGGAATTTTAATATCCCACGCAGCATTTGCATTTACATGGCTGCCGCTTTTTTCCGGCTCGGGGTATTCCTTTCAAGTAGGAATAAGGGATCTTCCGGAAAAGCGCTTATTTTCCGGAGAATCGCGTCTACACTGGAGCTTTTCTCCGGCAAAAACCCCAAGCCAGAAAAAAGCGGCAGCCATGTAAATGCTAATGCCGCGGGGGATTTTAATATCCCCCGCAGAATTGCAATTCTGAAGTGTTTCATTAGCATCCCTTTTCCGGAAAGGGATGCCAATGTAGACACAGCCCCAGTGTGTGCAATGCTGAGCTTTTCTAAGTAATCTTTAGTTTCCTTTTTGTTTCACACCAGATTTCTTACAAAATGACAAAATCTGTGCTGACAAAACTGACCTGAGGTTAATGGTGTTATGCCAGAAGAGAATTTTGCCTACAATGCATACATTATGATTCAGAATGAGTATATCCTTACACCAGCTTAGATGTTTGAACCAATACAGAATTATTGCTGACCCCAGACATTCAAAAATCATGAATCAGGTCTCGTAGGTTATGTCTACACTAGCCCACTAGTTCGAACTAGGGTGGCTAATGGAGGCATTCGAACTTGCAAATGAAGCCCGGGATTTAAATATCCCGAGCTTCATTTGCATGTTCCTGGGCGGGCGCCATTTTTAAATCCCCTTAGTTCGAACTGACTTCCAGCGGCTACACGCAGCAGTCAGAAGTTAATCCGAACTAAGTCCTTAGTTCAGATTAATTTTTACACCTCATTGCAGGAGGAGTAACAGTTAAATCCAAACTAAGGATCCTACCTCATTGCAGGAGGAGTAACACTTAAATCCAAACTAAGGACTTAGCTCAGATTAACTTCTGACTGCTGCGTGTAGCCGCTGGAAGTCAGTTCGAACTAAGGGGATTTAAAAATGGTGCCCACCCAGGAACATGCAAATGATATTTAAATCCCGAGCTTCATTTGCAAGTTCGAATGCCTCCATTAGCCACCCTAGTTCAAACTAGGGGGCTAGTGTAGATATACCCCTAAAGATCACAAGATTGGCTTAACAATTATTCGATTTTTTTAAAAATAACTCTGTGTATGTGGGTGTGTTGGAAGAGAGGGATTGTCTATTTGCTTTCTGAATTTTGTATCTTCACAGTGCACTTAGTCACATTTTAAATTCCTGACCATAACAACAAAGTCTAGGAGCTTTCTCTTTTAAAATGAAATCTAAGATTCTCCCATAATCAGTTGTTTCAGGGAGTGAAAGCTTTATATTTAACTTCAGATCCTATGAAACACATTTTTAAATTGCAAGACTTGGCAACAGTTGAATTTTTTAGAATTGTATAAAGCAAGTTTTTTTCCCCTAGGATTTCTCTGATCTATTTCTTGTGCTTTCTCAGGTTTCGTTGCATTTTCATCCTTGCCCCGGCTGGCTCAAAAAATCAAAATATTTTTTGCATTGGCTCCTATAATCACACTTAAGAATTCTAAAAGTCCACTGGTAAAACTGTTCTTCATACCTGAACGAATAAGCAAGGTGTGTGATTCTGGTTATAGATGCTCCTGATTATTTATGTATATATTAACAAGTGTGTGTTTGATGTTTTATAGAAAATGACAAAAGCAAAGTCTCTTCTCTGAGGAGCTTTTATTCTGCATAGGAAAAGTAGCAACAAAAGATGTCAGGAAGAGATGCAAACAAGAGCAGTAATTAATTATTTTGGCATATACTATACTTTTTTGTTTTGCTTTGTTTTGTTTTATTTTTACTCATCTTTGCTTGTGTTAAGATATGCATATTGGTTTTTTTAAGCAAGGAACTTGAAAACATTTTAGCAGAGGCTCTACAGTGAAAGAGAGAGAGAAGGAGAGAGATTTGGGAATTGTAACATTTTCTTTATTTCTAGTAAAATCCCATATTCGGTGTGAGAAGAATGTAATACTTTCATTGTCATTGTCATGTGTCATGGTGGGCTGGTCTCAGAGGCTTCATAGAATAACCTCATTTTTGAGACAAGATGGAGGAGAAATGTATAGAGAAGAGATGGAGGGCTAAGGGAGTACAGTGCTAAGAGAGTAAGATTAGGATATAAATCAGGAGTGGGCAATAATTTTTGACTGGGGGCCACTTCAGAAATTTTGAACTGGCCACCCTGGAAGGGGTGGGGCCTCAGGCAGAAGGGGCAGGGCCAGGATACTTCCCTGCTTCCTCACTCACAGACATTAATTCAGGGGTGGGCAAAAAGGCCTCCGGGGGCCAGATGCAGCCTATCAAGCAAGTTGATCTGGCCCACTGAGGCCCTGCTGCTCCCCCCACCCTCAGGCCAATCAAGGCCAGGGGTGGGGAGGGAAGCATGAAAAGTCTCCTCCCACCCTGCTCCCACCCTGCAAGGAGAGCATGGTACTTAGAAGCACCGCATGGTCCTGGCAGCGTGGGAGGAGACTTTGTGCAATTCTCCTGCCCCCATTCCCTGATTGGCCTGGGGGTGGAGGGAAGCGCATGGTGCTTTTAAGCACTGCACACTCCTTGCAGGACAGGGGCAGGATGGGAGGAGACTTTGAACCGCGTTCTACCGCCTCCAGTCCAATCAGGGCCCAGGGGTGGGGGGAGCGTGCAAAGTCCCCTCCCACCCTGCAAGGGGCTGCTCAGCTGTTAAAGTCAACTGCCAGCTGCTGTTCAGCTGGCAGTTGACTCTAAGCGCGACGCTCCCTTGCAGGGCAAGGGCAGGGAGCAAGAGACTTCATGTGCTCCCCCTCTCCAGGCCCTGATTGACCTGGAGGCAGCAGTGGGGAGCACACGAAGTCTCCTCCCACTGCCAGGGACTGAGGCACCTGGAGGACACTCCCAGCTATTCAGAACAGCTGGTGGTTCTCTCTGGGAGGACAAAGACTTAGCGCACTCCCCCACCCCCAGATCAATTAGGGTTTGTGGGTGGGGAAGCAGAGAAGTGTCCTGGCCCCACCCCTTCCACCTGAAGCCCCGCCCCTTCCGGGGTGGCCCAAAGCCACTTCAAAAATTTCTGAAGTGGCCCCTGGTCAAAAATTATTGCCCACCCTTGTCCTAATAAACCATAGTGAGTAATGTCTTTGTGTTTTTACAGGCTATTCTTGGCAAGAAAGAATTCTCTGTGAAGGGAGAGGTTCTGAGCAAATGGACTGTTTGGGTGTGCCGCTACAGAGTATTTCAGAAGTTTTGTTCCTTGGTCTTTTCTGTCATTGGGGGCTTTAATGAAAAGAATCTAAATATGGTATGTGTTCAGTGATTTTGAACGAACTAATTTGTTGCTTGGCGACATTACATGGATAATTAATTTTATACAACAAAACTGGCTTCCTTTTGTTACCAGTTTGATCCCAGGGTAGGTTAATATGTTGATACTGTGTGTTTATGGTGGATGAGGGAGTAAAGGTTGGCTGGGATGCTGTAAGATGGATCAGTTCATTTGTTTGACCTCACTTGAGAAGGGAGTAAATGATTACACTAAGCACAAGACAATGGAGAATGAGCTCCTAATATTTTGAAGTATTAGGCTCTGAATTCAAATGCATAATGCAATGACCTCAGTCAGAAATCTTTTATCTTTACTGAATGTTGTACTTCCTCAGACCTGCTGAGGAACAAACCTGGACAAAGGGTGGGCTGGGGCGGTATTGCTTTTGGGGTTGTTTATTGGTACAGATTCTTAAGAGTAAAGTGATACTCACACACACATATCACATTCATGCTGGCAGTTTGAAGGCAGGCTGCAAGTGCAGCGTAGATTGCTTCTGATTTCACTGGTGGCCAGAGCGCTGGCCAGGCAGCAGCTTCCCAGACTCGACCATGATGTTCCTTTGGAGATCCCTTTGGATCTGCAGGAGGCTTGACTTCCTCCGGGCCAGTCCCAGGTTTCTGCTGTGATGTTACATTTAGTCTGGGAGAGAGAGATTTTCTGGCTGCTTCTTAGTTAATTTATCTGCTTTCAGAGTCTTTGTCTGCCTTAAAAGGTCAGAGATCTCAAACTGCCTTAGATTGGGTATTTCTCATTCACATCTTACACACATTCCACAGATTACATGCATATTCATAAGCAAAATGGTTTCTAGGCAAAGTTGGGCCTCATGATAGACTTGGGTAGCAAGAAATTGCATTGAACTGAAGATTACATACCAAAGGCATGATAAAAAGAGCCAGCGTCAGGGGAAAAGAAAAAGGAGAGGAGTATGTCCAGTCAGCTAGACACCAGTGGAGAGGAGGGACATGTCTGGTTAAGTTACACTGAACATATGTAGTCAGCTTATTTTATTCTGAAACCACATGAACTTTTTAGGTTTGAAAGTTCTTTTTGAACGCTGACATTATTGGGTTAATGTTTCAGTTGGAAAAACACAGGGGCTACGTCTACACTGGCCCCTTTTCGGAAAGGGGCATGCTAATTTCACAGGTCGTAATAGGGAAATCTGCGGGGGATTTAAATATCCCCGTGGCATTTAAATAAAAATGTCCGCCGCTTTTTTCCGGCTTTTAGAAAAGCCGGAAAAGAACGTCTACACTGGCCCCGATCCTCCGGAAAAAAGCCCTTTTCCGGAGGATCTCTTATTCCTACTTTGAAGTGTGTTTATGGTGTAGGAATAAGAGATCCTCCGGAAAAGGGCTTTTTTCCGGAGGATCGGGGCCAGTGTAGACGTTCTTTTCCGGCTTTTCTAAAAGCCGGAAAAAAGCGGCGGACATTTTTATTTAAATGCCGCGGGGGATATTTAAATCCCCCGTGGATTTCCCTATTACGACCTGGAAAATTAGCATGCCCCTTTCCATAAAGGGGCCAGTGTAGACGAGCCCAGGAAGAAAATTATCTAAATACAGCATACCTCCACTTTATAGCCATATAGCTCTTTAAAAACATATGAATACACAATAGTATATAGTAGCTAACCTGCGAAAGAACATGAGCAAAACTGAGCATCACATTCAAACATTTTACCCCTGTCATCTAGACCTGCTTTGAATAGAATTGGTAGATTCAGAGGAAAGAATACCAGTACCCTGTATATGCAACCACTCTCTGTATTTCTGCTAGCTGGTGAGAGATTTTGCAAAAAAGTTTAGCATAGATGCAACTTCAACTGACTCAGTCTAATTCTAGGTCTATTTCAAAGTCTTAGTTCTCATCTTTATACATCTCACTGAGTTAACAGTAGAGTTGACAAGTGTTTTCTATGATGTGAAGATTATCTATTTCTACTGATGGTATAGGGCAGCAGAAAACTACAGTTCTTCGCCCCTCCTTTCCCCCCAGAGCAAAGAGTAATCAGGGAGGGAATTGGGACAGAGAACAGTGTCTCCAAATGACTTGTGGGGATGGTGAGCTGGTGACTTATCTCTGGCTTAGGACTATGACTAATGTCACAAACTACCCCATGTTAACGTGTACAAAGCTCTGCTAGAGGCAAGGCCTGAGGCATTCGTGTAAAACAAATCTCCTTGCACACGTGTTTCCAAAATAACTGAGGCTTCAGAAAAGCCCTGCATTTCTTTCCACAGACAAATCAAAGTATAATTATCATTTACAAATGCAGCGTCAGCAAAGGAGGAATGTTGATTGGGGACATTTTAAACAGATGATTGCATTTTTCCTCTTGATAAGATATCCAAATGTATGAAAAATGCAGATGTAGGTAGGTTACATATCTTTGAGTATCTAAGAGACTGAGGGGAGGTGCTTCTCTAACTCATAATACCAGTTGCCCTTTTCCCTGAAGCTAGACTATTTGTTTTGATTACATTGCCCTTTAAAAACAAGTTATATTAATAGGACCCTTGGCAAAAAAGATCTGTGAACCCAAGTGATGCTTTAAGAGTATGGGAATAGTGACCATAATATAATAACATTTAACATTCTTGTGGTGGAAAGAACACCTCAGCAGTCCAGCACCCTGGCATTTAATTTCAAAAAGGGGAATTACACAAAAATGAGGAGGTTAGTTAAACAGAAATTAAAAGGCACTATAACTAGAGCCAAATCCCTGCACGCTTTTTAAAGACACTATAATAGAGGCCCAACTTAAATGTACACCCCAAATTAAAAAACATAGCAAGAGACCTAAAAAGAGTCACCATGGCTTAACCACCATATAAAAGAAGCAGTGAGGGACAAAAAGGCATCTTTTAAGAAGTGGAAGTCCAATCCTACTGAGATAAATAGAAAGGAACATAAACACTGTCAAATCAAGTGTAAAAATGTAATAAGAAAAGCAAAAAAAGATTTTGAGGAACAGCTAGCCAAAAACTCAAAAAGAAATAACAAAATGTTTTTTAAGTACATTAGAAGCAAGAAGCCTGCTAAAAAACCTGTGGGTCCCCTAGATGATCGAGATATAAAAGGAGCAGTCAAGGATGATAAAGCCATTGCAGAGAAACTAAATGCTTTCTTTGCTTCAGTCTTCACGGCTGAGGACGTTGGGGAGATTCCTGAATCTGCACCATCCTTTGTGGGTGGT